CCCTTGCCATTCCCATCCTTATATCTCTGACACATTTAACTAGAAATCATAGAATAAATATAATAAATACTGTAAATTAATTATTAACACGGTCTATTAAAAATCTTAGAATAAATACTATAAATTCATCACTGTTATAAATAAATATTTTTTATTTGCTAAAATGGTCCACCTGGTTCTGTCCTTCCCCCCTTGGGTATGCATCATCGGACCTGTGATTCTCACAACACCCACTTCTTCAGATGTCCGGAGTGTTGCAGATGACTAGAGTAGTCCTCTTCTGACTGAGGGCTGGGCCCTACACACACACCTTGTTCTGGGGCCTATGGTGGCTGTCGGTCCCCTTGCCTGTATGCCATACCAGCAAAGGACTCCTGGGCTATGTCTACACTCGCGGCTTCTTGAGTGAGTAATATGCAAATGAGGCTAAGCGTGGAATATCGCCGAGCCTCATTTGCATACCTAATGAGCCACCTTTTTTTCAGAAGAGGCTCTTGCGCAAGAAAAACCTTCTTGCGCAATGCTGTTCTTCCTGAAAAGTAATAGGTGTAACGGCATTGCGCAACAGGGTTTTTCTTGCGCAAGAAGGGGCAGTGTAGATGCTCCTTCTTGCGCAAGAGCCTCTTGTGAAAAAAATGGTGGCTCATTAGGTATGCAAATGAGGCGTGGCGATATTCCACACTTAGCCTCATTTGCATATTACTCGCGCAAGAAGCAGCGAGTGTAGACATAGTCCTGGTGTGCACACAAGTTAGACTGTTTTGCCAGCATGGTTTATTCCAGCCCCTCAAGCAAAATAAGACATATCAGCAAAGACGTAGCTTTGCTGAGATAGCTTTCAGTTGGATATCACCCCTCCTCATGCCCCTGACTGACACAGTTATTCCGGCAGAAATCCATGTTGTAGACCAGGCTTTAGTGGCTCCAGTGGTTCAGTGATCCAGCAGGACCTGCAGGTCCCAGCTATATAATCCTTAGGAGCACACCGTAAATTCCTGGAGAGAACACTTAGTAGGGGAATGAGATTAGAATGGGGGTCTGAGTATTTGTCAGGGATAGCAGGGCTCACAGATGATGGGAATTCTGGGCACTTGAGGGGGAGGAGAGGGTTTGGCAGGAGGGAAGAGGTATTAAGTTGTCCAGAAGGAGTGTCTGGAGGCAGCAAGAGTGAGGTTTAGCAACTGGTGGGGAAAGGAGGAAGAGCTGTTTATTGGAGGGGACTCCATCTTCCATAGCCACTAAGAAAGTAAGTGCATGTGGAAAAAGGACTGGACAGTTTGATAGCTGGGAAGGGGAAGTGGAGTTGGGAAAATTTCAGGGATGAGATGTGTTTCATCTGCAAAGGGGGAACAAGGGAACTTGTAAACGGTTGAGTCACTGAGAGGCAATTTGGAGGGGACTTGGGAGGGGGAACCACATAGACAAATGTAAGTATTCTCAAGTTTTTAAGGATTTACTCTGTACAGGACACACATTTAACCCTCCACTTCTCTGGGCTGTCTATTTTTTTCTGCTCTGGAGCTAGGAAACCAGGCCTTATAGGACTCACAGGAGTTATTCCCCTTTCCCCTCTGCAGCTGCAGCTTCCCTGTGGCGTCTTGTGTTCCTGGGAGCTTTGAATTAATCCACTACAACTAGGTCTGAGCATTCAGGTAGCACCAGCAGCTGTGATTGAACATGCCCAGCTGGAATGAAGGTCTGCACCTAATTGACTAAATACTTCCAAAGTGCCCAGTCCCAGCGTGGAACCAGGCCTGTTGTAAGTAAAACCCGGCATAGATTATCCAGGCAGCTGCCTCTCTGCTTGGATTTCCTTCAAATCCTGGTCCAGAAATAAATGATTGGTATTCCTCTTGGGTATTACTTGTGTGGGAATACTGTGATGCAGAGTGTGTTATAAATGCCTTGATTATATAGATTGCCCCATAGATAGATGGAATGATAGGACTGAATAAAACAGACAGACTGATAGAAATTGGATAGCCATAGAAGAGAGATGGACTTGAACCTCCTATGGGCAAGAAGCTGTCTAGCTATCCCCCACACACACTGGTCATGGGACACACAATAAATAACAATTAAGATATTTCTCTGACTCTTTGGTGGATGCTGATTTTTCCCTCTCTGGTTTATGTTTGGTTCCCCACAGAATGGAGAGACATTTGGCAAAAGATGCAACAGGAACCTTGGTGCTCTGAGGAGCAGTTACTGAGAGCTGAGTGAGAACAAGGAGGTGAGCCAGTCTGTGACCACAGCAGTGCTGAAGCAGGAACTTCTCCCTCCGCACAGGGTTTGGCTGAAGCCAGAAGAAGCCTCATTTCAAGAGGAAAATCTTGCAACTCAGGATGCAGCTAGAAGAGCAAAAAGCACATAACTTGACAGCATTGACTCTCACCAGCTACAAATGCCAACTGGCCAGTGTAGGAAGGCTGCAGGTAAGCTGCACTGTCCCTCTCAGCAGGCCCATTTCATTCTCCAGCACTATCGCTGGCTTTGTATTCACCTTTTCATTCTTTCATCTCTGGCTACCTTCCCAAGAGCTCATCTGTGATCTTCAGTGGTTAGCCTCTTCCCAGGGCTCCACTCCTTTGTGCCAAGGGTCTCTCCTATGTATTCCAGTGAAAAAGAAGGCTTTGTCTATACTAGTACTTTTGCTGGCAAAACATTTGTCAATTAGGGTTTGAAAAAAATACATCCCGACAGACATAAGTTTCATAGACAAAAGTGCCAGTGTGAATAGTGCTGTGTCAGCAGGAGACACTCTCCTGCCACCATAGCTACTGCCACTCCTTGGGGTGGTTTAATTGTCAGCAGGAGTAGACTCTCCCGCTGGCATAGAGCAGCTACACAGGCGACCTTACCATGCAGTGATACAGCAGCCCTGCATAAGGTCTATAGTGTAGACATAGCCTAACTAATCCCATGTGTCTAATTTATGGCAAAAAACAAGGCCATAGCTGAAATGCACCAGAAATATGCAATAACCATTGTTGCTGATTTAAAGCTATTTACCTGCTTTTGTGGAATTTTTCTCACAGCTGAGTTAGGGAAATGTGCTAGAGCCATGTTCTTGTCCTGGAACACTTGGTTTTATAGCAGAACTCTCCACTGAAACCAATTTGGAATTCTGCTTTAAGACTGATTGCTAAGTATTACCTCCCATATGTTACAAACGGTTCCCTTCCTATTCTATCCCCTTCCTCCCACCCCATTCTTTGGCTTCCAACTTGCCCCTTTCCCTGTCCCCCCCCCCCATCCATGTTATCTCTCTTGTTCTTTCTCTCTGCTTCCCTCTCCACATCCTACTTCCCTTTTTTCCATTCCCCGTGTATGATTCACCCCTCCTTTCCAGGACTTCTCTCTCATGGGTGGTTTTGTCTGTCTAGTTTGTGTGGTCTGCCCTGCACATTCCAGCTCTTTTCTCTTCAGGACCCAACATGTTCCACACAGAGAGGGGATTTATGAGTTGGATTATCCTTTGCTATTTGGTCTTTTCTTTTCAGAACATACCCTTTTCTTGTATGTATTAGGATGTCTGTGTGTGTGTGTACATATGTGTATCTCTCTAGTATGCAAGTCTGTGTCTAAAGTGTGAATGTATATATGTAAATTGGTGTATCTGTTTCTTTGCATGTTACACACAAATACATAGGACCTGATCCATCTGTTACTTTAACAATAACTTCATTGGAAGCAGGATTAGGCTCATACACAATAGCCTGAGACAGAGTGCATTTGTGTGCATGTTTTTGTCAGGGTGTGTTTGTTTCTGTGTCATGGCTGTGAATGGGTGGGCACAATGCTCCATGTGTACTTCAGTGCTATGCCTTGAGATGTGACAGTCTGACTTGGGGGAGGGGAGAGATTACAGAAGAAAAACGTATTTTAAAAGCCCCCTTGAACTGCACATATTGTTGAGCCTGGTGGAGGGAGAGAATTTAAACATTGCCTCCCCACTGAGGGAGTCTCCATCTCCCACCCACCAGCAAGAGGGATTTGAAACAGCAAATCTGTATGTTGCATATGCGTATGTGTGTCTGTGATACAGGAACTTTGCCCAAACATTTTCATTCAGAGCAGCCCTCTTTTAGCTTTGGCTTTCACGCTAAGGAGGAGGAGGGAGCCAGGGAGAGGGACTATTCCATTAGCTCAGTGTGGGGAGAAAGTATTCCCATGCCCATCCAACAAAGTAGCTACTTCTTCTCTTCTTCACCCGCAGTGAAATGGTAGAGTCTCACTGCTTCTCTCTCTGGGCCAGATGAGCCCCTTTGTAGTAAAAAGGGGCAGAAAAGAGAAAGACGTGAAAAAATTTACTACATAACTGTGCTGAGTAAGGGCCTAGTGCTAAGTAGAGTAGAATATCTAAGCTTTCACTGCTGTTAGCAGCAACTGCAAGAGCTCATCAGGTGCTTGGTATCTCTCAAAATTAGCCCTCTAATTAATATGTATCCATACCTATAAGGGGTGGTAGTGAAGTTTGTAGTAATCAGGAGGGGCTGTGGCTAGAAACCTCCACAGAGGGTGTCATGGCTCCTTCCCCACTCTGGCATGATAAATGCAGAAGTGGGGGCCAGCAAGTGTACCCCAAAGCCTTATCTACCAGGCTTTGGTATAAAACTTCCCCCAAGATCTTAAAAACCTAGATCTTGGGAATAAAACTTCCGCTGCCACCACCCAAATGTTGCTAAAGAAACCAGGGGAAAGATCATTTGGGAAATCTTCCCCCTAAAACAAAAATCAGGGCACACCATTAACCACTGCCAGGTTAATAAAAGAAAAGAAAGAACTTTTATTATTACAACAATATTCCTGTTGCAAGCATAATGACTAGATAGGAAGATAACAAAATATACTCATGGAGAAACTCCATGGGCCTAGAACTTAGTTACAAAGAAAAGCCAAAACATCTTTTAAACAGTGCCAGATCTCAGGTCTCTTACCCAACCCTAAAAACAATAAAACCTAACAAAACTACCTAAACTTTACCCTACTTACAGAAAATGAAGACTGGTGCCTTGGAGAGAGAGAGACATGCTTGTCCCTCTCTGTAGCTGCAGGGAACTCTCACAGAGAGACAAAAGGGAGAAAGGAAAAAATCCAAATTCCTTTGTCCCAGTTTGAAAAGTCGCACCTACATTCCTATTGGTCACTCCACCTGGCTAGGTGTAGTTAACCCCTTAATCCCCAGGCTGCTGGCTAACCCTCATAATCATGACAGAGGGGATTAAGAAATTGTCTGGCTGTGTCTACACTGGCCAATCTTGCACAAGAACACTTGCAAATGAGGCACAGCAATGAATATTGCAAGAGCCATTCTGCCGCTTATTTTAACGAGTGCAAAATGGTGTTTCATTAAGTATGCAAATTAGGTGCAACAATATTCATAATCATGCCTCATTTGCATATGTTCTTATGCAAGACTGGCCAGTGTAGACATAGCAGCTATGTTTATAGGCAAGGTATAAGTAACTGTGCACTGATATCCTGACAACATATTCCATAGGAAGGTGTGTGGAAAAGTGCTGCAAACTTTTCAGAGTACCTTTTACAGCCTTACGTGTGGCCCATGTCTGCAGGTAGCCCCCTTTTAAATAGCCTTTTTAAATACTCATATGATTGTGGTGGGCTGGCTAAGTGTGAGTGTGTATGTTTGCATGTTTATATCTCTGCATATGAGGGAATCATAACTGCATACCCCTGCGAGCAGCAAAGGAAGATTTGCTGGCACCTCCAAGTTCTACCCTTTCTGTTCCCACTAACTGTTTCTCTTGCTTTCCTTGTGGGGGAGGGCTTGCAGGAGTGTGCTCTATGCTCTCTCCTAGCAGCCTGGACTGAGCATCTGGCCTCTGTCCCACAAGACTGCTCTGATATGCAGCCGAAATTGGCTGAAGGTCATCCAGCTTGTCCACCTCTGAAATGGACCCAGGAACCATGTTTATGTGCTTGTGCCAGTTCCTCACTCTCGTGCCCTGCCCCAACACCAAACAGTAGGACCTGACGCCGCTGAAGGAAGGCAGAGCTCCAGTGGGCCAGTCTGCACTACACACTGGTCCCATGGCCCATAAGTGATATTAGCTGCTGGCTCCTTCATGAAACCACAAACACGGGTGAATTGTTGTGGGTACCAGGAACAGTTCATCAACTCCCCACATCTCTGTCATTTCTGGAGCAAGATCCTGGCACACTGCTTGCAGTCCCAATTTCTGCTTCTCCAGAACCTCTGACAAAAGTGCTGGTTATGCTTCCTGATTCTCACACTCAACCTGTGGCCTCACAGTCACAGGATCTCATCAACCTCCTCCTGGCCATCCATCATACCAGGAGAAAGAAGTTGGGTGGGGGTAAGGGCATTACTCTGTGGCTGTGTCTACACTGGCACCCTTTTCCGGAAAAGGGATGCAGATGAGACAAGTCGGAATTGCAAATGCAGCGGGGATTTAAATTTTCCCCGCTGCATTTGCATGAACATGGCTGCCGCTTTTTTCCGGCTCGGGGCTTTGCCGGAAAAAAACGCCAGTCTAGACGGGGATCTTTTGGAAAATAAAGCCTTTTCTGGAAGATCCCTTATTCCTGATTTTAAGAGGAAAAGGGTGCCAGTGTAGACACAGCCTGTGCCTGTGAGGCCTGTTGCTGCTCCTCCCTGAAGTCATATCTGAAGGTAGTTTCTCTCGGTCCCTTTGAGGAGCAATGGGCCCTGTCCAGGGCTCTCTGCTCAGTACCCCTTCTGGCTCTCTGCTTTGAACCTGTGACCCTCACTCCCATGCCTGTTTTTTCATTTGTTCCCCTGAATTTATGTGAGCAGTAGATTCAGTTGCTCCTCCCTTTTGGCTGAGGGATGGATCTTTAGAAATGGCCAGGCTTGTGCTTACCTTTCCCCTAGAAATTCAATAGATATGGGGCCATGTCTGTCCTCTACAGTATTGGCTGACTCCTGAGATACTTCTGAGGAGCAGTGGGGGGCTGTCCCTACAACTCAGCTGTGGCCTAATTTGCTGCCCCTGCCCCCCAGCCTGATTGAAGGAAACCCCCTAGGCTGTCTGCTGTCTTCCTAGTACCCCCAACAAGTACCACACAGCTCAGTGTGACCATGGTGTGGTGCTCAGCGGGCTGGCGATTTCGTCCTATAGCTCCCCTTTCTCCCCCAAGCACAAATAGGCTCTGCCCCTACCGCTGTGGAGGAGTCCCAGCCGGGGACTGAGCGGGCGTTTTCGAGGCGCCCTCTTCCCCTTGCGCAGGGCAGAGCTGCGCGGGGCCAGTCCCAGCCGGAGCAGCTCCGACTCCACTGCCCGGCCAGAGGGGAGCCCCAGCCCGGCGCGCTGAGCGCAGGGCGCTGGAAGGACGAGGGGGGCGCTGCTGGGAGGAGCGTGAGCAGGCAGCCCGGGCGGGGAGCTCCGCCCTGCAGGGGGCAAGGGCGTGTGCGTGAGGGACCGGCCCCGCGCGGAGCTCCGCCTCCGGCAGCCTGGGAGGGGGACGTTGCCTCTGCCGGCGGAGCGGGGAGGGGGGGGGGC